GCGGGTGGCCGAGGCCCTCGTAAACCTGCAGAAGGCACGCGCCGGACACCAGCCCCGGGAGGGGGAAAAGAAGAAAAAGAACAAAAAAACCTGAAGGTTTTCCCGCAAACCCATCTGCTCTCCATTTTGATCTCCGAACTCATGCAAGTTTAAAAAGCAAGTAAACGCTGTCAGTGTGATTAACCCCCCCGCCTGCTCCCTGCTCCTTCCTCCCCTGGAAGCAGAGGCTCACCCGCCTGGCGGGAGCATCGCCGTCAAGTTCGGCGATACGGGCACTCGAACCAAGGCGGCTCCGCTGAAATTACAAAACACTATACTTTTAAATAGGCGATGAATTATTTAGTGCCCTTGCACTATCCAAATGCTTTGCTCTTTCGCTAGATGATGGCTTGGTTTCCCCCCCAGCTCTTCTGTTACGACAGTGAGTAAACGGAGGGATGTTGCACTCTTCAAACATTTATACGTAACCCTCGTTAGGAGGAGGCTGTGCCACGAGGAGCGGGTTACGGACCGGGCGGAGGGGGAGGCACCGCCAGGACGCTCCTGCTCCCGGGGAAAGGCGGGCTCGGGGTTTCAGCCAGGGTTTAAGCGAGGATCCTGCTCCACCACTAACTTACCCGAACAAGGTCCGGGTGACGCGGCTTGCCGCTCAATGAATCAGTTCCTGGTTCCTCTCGCGCACCTTAAGATAACAAAAAACATATAACGGTTGAAATCCCAAAGGCGCAGACAGAGGTACCAGGAAAGCGGCAATCTCGGTGCAGGGCGACCAGAGCTGGGGCGTCCCAGCCGCCACCCCGCGCTGTCCGATGATCACGTCCAGCTCGGCCTCCAGCGGCCGAGCGTTTTCCTCCTGCGCACAAGGGTTGTGGGGGCACACAACACGGCACTAGAAAACTGTTAATTATTCACCGTGTTATGCCCCAGAAACATTTAATTATTCCTCAACAAGCCCCTGGCAGAAAGGGCAGAAAATCTGCGGATGAGGGTAAAAAGGTAATTTTCAATGTAGCCTATTCCATTTCAGCAGCAGGCTTAGGCCAAAAGTCTCCAGCCTGATCCCCGACTCCGGCGTTCCAGCTCTACGTACAGCCAAGAGAAGCACTTGGTCCCAAGGCGGCTGGGAGCGCCCACCAGCTCAGCTGCCTGCAACGGAGGATGCAGAAGGTAAAAGCTTTGCAGATCACCTCTATTTACACTTTGCACTTCAGAGCTTAATTTTCATCAGGCGGGTTGAAGAGGTTTAGCTTATGTCGGTACTATTTTACAGTTGCTGATCTAGATTTATATAGCATTATCGTACATTTTAAATTCTCTTTGCACTCAAAAATAGTCAAAGCATTTCTTTTTCCTCGTGTATTGTTTCAGTCCTCCGTATAAAATTCTATTGTAAATGTTATGACATGTATCTCAACATGTAGTTCTAACTTTGCTTTAAGAAGCAAAGTCTAAACCATGACTGGATGATGGAATAAATTAGTATATAACATTTCCAGGCAAACTGCAAAGTACAACTACTGTCATTACAAGACAAATCCACTAATTGCTTTAAAACACACTGTTCTGAGAATAACTAGAAAGGGTGTTTGACTGGAATAAATCCCTTTTACTCTGTGTTGGAGCAATGCGGCATTTCCTTTTGAACCGGTGGGGTGCAGAGAGCTCACGTCCAAGCTGTTTGCTCAGAAAGCTCCCGCGCAGCCCGTGGCAGAGCGTACTTAGCGTCCCAAGACTCATCAAGTCGAAGCAAGAGGTGGAAGGAGAAGAAAGTCCCGTCTTCCCTTGCTGCGACGAGCACGGTTTGCCTGGGTAGAGGCGGGCTGGCGGTCGAGGACGCCCTGGGCTTTCCAGGCTCGCGCCGCTTCCGGGGCCGCTGGGAGCCCCGGGAGAGGGGAGGTTTTCGCGGCGCCAGCCCTAGAAACACCGATTTTTGCAGCTGAACGTTACT